CAAATGGGAGTGGGCGGCATTGTTTTTAGCAAGACTACAAAGGCACAGGCAACAAAAGCAAAAATAGACAATCGAAACTACATCGAACTAAAAAGCTTCTGCACAGGAAAAGACACAGTTAACAAAGTAAAGAGCCAACTGACAGAATGGAAGACAGTCTTTTCAAACTGCACATCAGACAAGGTGTTAATATCCAGAATATATAACTTGAACAACTCAACAGCAGAAAACTAAATAAGCCAATTAAAAAATGGGCAAAGGACCTGTATAGACATTTCTTAAAAGAAACACACAAATGGCCAACAGGAACACGGAAAAATGCTCAACCTCACTACTCATCACGTAAATGCAAATTAAAACAGAAATGAGTTATCATCTTACTCCAGTTAGAATGACTATTATCAACAAGACAGAAAATAATAAATACTGTTGAGGATGTGGAGAAAAAGGAACTCTCCTACATTGTTCACGGGAATGTAAATTAGTACAGCTGTTGTTGAAAACACTATGGAGGTTCCTCAGAGAACTAAAAATTGAACTACCTTATAACCCAGCAATATCACTACTGAGTATACACCCAAAGGAAATGAAATCAATATATTGAAAAGACACCTGCACTCCCATGTCCATTTCAACACTATTCTCAATAGCCAAGAGATGGAGTCAACCTGAATGACCCTCAATGGATGAATGGATAAAAACCCAAAAAACAATAAACAAAAAAACTGTGGTATATGTACACCACAGAATACTATTTAGCTATATAAAAAGAAATACTGTAATTTGAAGAAACATGGATAAAACTGGAGACCACTATGTTACCTGAAGTAAGCCAGGCACAGAAAGACAAATACTGCATGACCTTAGTCATGTGGAATCTAAAAAAAACCCAAAAAACAAAAATTGGTTCTTATAGAAGTAGAGAGTAGAATAATGGTTAACAGTGGCCAGGGAAGGGAGGGGGAAGTGGTGGATTAAAAGGTACAAAGCTAGGCTATCTACTCTAAGCTAATCAATATATAGAATATGCATTCATTGAAACAACATACTATGCCCTACAGGTATGTACAAATAAATGTTAAAAAATAAATAGATAATTCCCAATGCCAGGTGATCATAAAGGACTGATCATTGGAGTTTTTGCAGTTCTCTGTTGATGACGCTGGTGGATTTGATGAGATTGTCCATAGTCATAGTTACCTTCTAGAACGAAGTTTGGAAAACGTGAGAGTTTCTGTAAACTTCTCTAGTGATTGATATGGTTATGGCCTTAAGAATATAGGCAGTCCAAAAAATTATCGAAGGCTCTATTTAGGCATTCTAAGTTTAGTCCCATCTTTTTGTTTCATATTAGAGGGCTTTCTTAGAATCTAATAAAAAGAGAAGTCACATTTGGGGGCTGAAATCATCCCCCTGAGTTCATAACT